ATATATATATATATATATATATATATATATATATATATATATATATATATATATATAACGAGGTAGTGACGAGGCTATGGCGGGGCAGTTACAGTATAACCTGCCTACAATGCATAATAAAACAGAAAGAGGAACAAAACAAATAAAATAGTAACTTGCAAGGAAAGAATACAGAACTCTGGTATCTCATTAGTACCCAGCTATAACCAATCCTTAAGTGAAAAGTCAAACTACAAAATAACTTGCACAGTAGAAAAAAGATATATAAACACATAAACTGATGCGGCGCGCATCCCGATCCCACCATATAATCAATATCAATATTAATATTCACCCTTATTACTCCATATCAATCCACCCTTATTCCTCCTGTTGCGGCGTGCAACCCGATCCCACCATATAATAGCATTTCACCCTTATTCCTCCTCAATATACCATCCTTATTCCTCATATTGCGGCGCGCAACCCGATCCCACCATATCAGTACCAATCACACAATAAGAACAGGAATTTCACAATTTAGATCAAAACTCTCCACAATATTTAAGCCTCAAACCAAAGTAAACAGAAAGCTATACAATTATGAAACTTCACTCAATTAAACACAAGGAGACCAACCCAAAATGTACCATAAAACACCGATAAACCAGCTTAAACCAATAATATGATACAATGAAACTACGGGATAGCTAATACCTTCAATAATGAAAAACAATGTCTAACAAGTAGCAATTAAACATGAAAATACCAATAAGCATGTAGCAGTTAAGACAGCAAGATAATATATTAAGAACGGGAAAGGAACAGGCAAAACAGATAATTTGGCGGTGCATAGGTACTCGTCACCTCACCTATATGCCACTCACATGGATTTTCACATAGCAAATTAAGTCAAGGATCCCTAATCTCTCGAGTCAAAGTTAGGCACTACACTTACCTTGACTCACAGGCCACTCACTGCTCAATTACCGCTTTTCCTCTAGTTTCCACCTCCGAACTACTCGTATCTAGCCATAATTAACTTAATAACATCAAATATCGCTAAATAAATCAATTCCAATACATAAATTTAGATTTCTCAATATTTCCCCCAAAAAGTCAAAAACCGACCCCGGACCCGCTTGGTCAAAACTCAAGGTTCGGACCAAAACCCATTCACCCGTTAGTTCCGGAATCCGATCCCAAATCGAGTTCTAAATCCCCAATTTATAAAAAAACCCAATTCTTCAAAAAATCCCTAATTCTACCATGAAAGAACAATATTAGGACTAGAAATCTAATGGTGATGACGGAAATTGAAGGAAATGATTAAAGAACACAAACCTATGATTTGGTATTGAATTCCCTCTTCAAAAATCACCTTAGGTTGAGTTCTAGTGAAAGAGATATGAAATTTTGAAGAAATCCCGTGTTAAAGTCTGTTTTAAAATCACCGGACAGGCCTTCTTCGCGTTCGCGAGAGGCCTGTCACGATCTCGATACACAGCGGCCTAAGGCCTACGCGTTCGCAAGTCTATATACGCGTTTGCATAAGGCATCTCCCCCCTGGCCTTCACGTTCGCGACCCAAGGGACGCGTTCGCGAAGAAGATTACTGGCCCCTCCCCCAGGTCCCATATTCTTCGCGTTCGCGATAGATAGGTCGCGTTCGCGAAGGGTAACACCCCCATTGCTCCGTGTTCGCGACCAGTCCTTCACGTTCGCAAAGAGAAAATCCCCCCTGCCCCCATTTTACCTTTCGCGTTGGCGATGCTACCTATGCGAACGCGATGAAGGGCATATCAGAACAGTTGTTGCAGCACAATACCAGATTTCCTAAGTCTAAAACATCCTGTAGCCTATCCGAAACTCACCCGAGCCCTCGGGGCTCCCAACCAAACATGCACACAAGTCTTAAAACATCATATGAACTTGCTCGCGCGATTAAATCGCCAAAATAATACCTAGAACTACAAATTTAGCACCAAATTGCATGAAATTTTCAAGAAAGTTTTAAAACTTCTATTTTCTCAACCAAAGGTCCGAATCACGTCAAATCAGTTTCGTTTCTCAATAAATTTCATAGATAAGGTATAAATATCATAACGGACCTGTACCGGGCTCCGGAATCAAAATACGAACCCAATACCAACAAGATCAAATGATAACCAAATTCTTATAACCATTATAATTTCAGTCTTTCAATTTTAATTTAAAATTCATATCTTGAGCTAGGGACCTCGGAATTCGATTCCGGACATACGCCCAGGTCCCATATTTTACTACGGACCCACCGGGACTGTCAGAATACGGGTCCGAGTCTATTTACTCAAAATATTGATCGAAGTCAACCAAAATTAACTTTTTAGGCCAAAAATTATTATTTCATCAATTTTTCACATAAAAGCTTTTCGAAAACGCGCCCGGACTGCACACGCAAATTGAGGAGGAATAAAATAAGGTTTTGAAGGCCTTGAAATACGGAATCAAGTTCTAAAACATAAGATGACCTTTTGGGTCATCATATTTCACTAGCCGAAACACAAGAGGATAAGTCTCATGCTTCTTTGTCTCTACTAGTTTCTTAGAAAGATCACCAAGTCCCTTAAGATCGGAAAACCTTTTGTCATGATCTCTGACATCAACAATGTAATTCTTAAGCTAAAAATGAAGGTCAACTACAGAATATTTATCAAAATCATCAGTATATAGCTTAGCTAATCTCAAAACCCTTTCAATGTCAAAGCTTGAAAAAGAGTTAACTGGGTTCAAGCAAGCAACTCCAAGAAGCAATTCAGTTGTCACCTGATCAACATCAAAGCAATTATTGAGTTCTTAAAATTGCCAATCAATAGTTTTATAGAATACTACAACATGGTAGTGATGTAAATTATTGTACTCTGCAACTCTACGACATGATCTTCCAAGGATAACATAAGGCTTATCAAAGTTAGGTATCAATATGTCATATTTGATGCAAAACTTAGATACCTCATCAATAAGTGAAGCATAACCATCCTGTCTTAGACGTTGCAACTGATCTTTTGCCACTCTAACAAGTATCATAGAATTTGCAATATCTTGCTCCTTCTTTTGAAAGGCAACATAAGCTCATTTGTGATTGCTAAAATAGTGCGCATAAAATGCAACATGAAGACAACTTCAAATGTTAAACATGCTTTAAGGTATCCCTTTGCCTTACACGTTTCTTCAAAACGTGCATTAACAACAATAGCATCAAGTACATCAATGATAGGTCCAAACATAATAATAAAATTGTTAAAGGATTTATAGTGAGAGCCCCATCGAGTATCACCAGCTCTAGTAAGACCTAATTCTTGATTTAAGCCCCTCCCAATTTCAAGCTCACCTTTAGGTAACGCTTCTTCAATTTCTTCTGCTTGAGATTCACGAAGTTCATCTCTACGCTTGAAAGAAGATCCCACCAAATTTAATATATCAGAAACAACCAATAAAAGTTCTTGCACTTCATCACATCTTTTAGAAACCGCAACAAGAGTTAATTGAAGTTGATGAGCAAAACAATGAATAGAATGAGCACCTTTACTTTCTTTTTGCATCAAGATTTTAAGCCCATTTATATCACCTTGCATATTGCTTGCTCCATCGTAACATTGTCCACGTATGAAAGATGGACTTAGAGAATGTTGAGCAAGTAAACCAACAATTCCATTCTTTAGAGACAAAGCAATAGTTTCACGAACACGAACAATACCAAAAAATCGCTCCATCACACTTCCCCTTCTATCAACATACCGCAAAACAATAGTCATTTGCTCCTTACATGACACATCACGAGATTCATCAACTAATATAGAAAAGTGATCATTATTTAAGTCCTAAAGGATACATTTAACTGTTTCCATCTTACATGCAGTAATAATATCATTTTGATTGTATGGAGAAATCGATTGATTATTCTTTGAAGCTTTTTTAAATATATCGGCAACATGATCACATCTTTTAGTATACCATCTAACAATTTCAATATAGTTACCACTATTGAGAGATAATTCATCTTCATGATGCCCTCGAAAAGATAATCCTTGGTGTAAAAGATATCGTATCATATCAACCGCAGCCTCTAAACGAATCCGATATTCTAGCTTTTGTTGATCAGATTGTTTAGCAAGTACACTGTGAATAGATTATTTTTGTCTCATCAAATCTTCACTTTACTTTCTTGACTGATTATGAATACTATTTGGTCCACTAATATGCATATCAAATCTATCCTTCTTGCTCCAACTTGTAAATCCTATACTTGAAAATACATCTCCTCCCCCTTGATTGATGCATTCATCTTGAAACAAATAACAATAGAAGCAAAAAGCTGCATATTTTGTTGTGCTATACTCCAACCAATCATACTCAGAAACCATTGAGGATTAAAGCGACGTAATTTGCCATAAAAAATTCTTTGAGGAAATTTGTGCTCTCGAGGTTGGAAAACACCTCTTTGAAGATATGTTCTTCCTATTGCATCATGATCATTTGGATGATATTTTCGAATTGCTAATCTTTTCCCAGGATCAACCTCTAAAGAGCCTAAATTAACTCTTTCACTTTGTTGATGTTGTTCCGACTCATTAGCTATTTCTTCCAAGTTAGATAAATCTTGAGCTGTTGAACTTGATTTTGGAATTTTGGAAGTTGTAGGTTAGTATCTCTTCATTGTAATTTAATCTGAATCAAAATTCAAGTATCCACTTTATTCTTTAGATAAATCCTAAATAAGTTCATTATAACAAGAAAATAGAAATAAATAAACTAGGAGCTAATCTATACTACGCACTCGTATACTCTAATTTCAACATTTACAATCACATGAATCAGTCAAACTATGTTAGCATGACCAGCACGACAATAACTTATAATTAAAAATTTCAATAACCCCCGAAATCATTCCCCAAAAATATCAATTATAAATTTAAAATTACCATCATAGATTCATAGTTATAATCATAAAGAAATAAAAAAGTAAAAGAACAAGCACATAATAAAAGATTATCACCAAAGGAGATAAATAATTAGTACTAACTTGGTGCAATTTAGGTTCTTTGGAGTTAGAAAACTGAAAAGTGGGCACCGGTCCTTTTTATACTAATTGAGGCAGTCTATGTATTCTAATTGAGGGCAAAGAAACGGTATTAAATCCTATTTCAGAAGGGCTTTAAATAGTTGTTTGTACGGTCAAGTAGTTTGTAAAGTGGTCAAATAGTTTTTAAATACAGCCCATACTTTTAGCAATAGGCCCGTAATTAGCAGCCACGTTTTCAAATTAAGTGAAACTGTCGAAAAATATTTTTGGAGCTAAGGGAGTTTGAATCCGTGACCTGTCACATCAAACCTGAAGGCTGAAGCTGACAACCGTTGGACTACTAAGCTGTTTTGATGGAAGCGGTGTCACTTTTAATCATTTTATATGTAATTTTTATTTTACACTTATATATATATATATATATATATATATATATATATATATATGTATGTGTGTGTGTGTGTGTGTGTGTGTGTGTGTGTGTAGTAAAAAAATTCGACGAAGGGGTGTCCCGTAAAATCGCTTGGGTCCATGTAAATCCGCCCCTGCAAGAATTGTAACCATTGTTATTTCCTCTACTGCTTAGAAGTGCAGTAGCATCATTGCCATCAACACCAATGCTAGCATTAATCTAACAAGTGCCATTTCTTCTTTGACTTTCTACATTGACTATCATAACATATGCTTGATTTATGTTTGGTAATGGCCTTGTCATAAGAATTTGGTCCTTTGCATTCTCATAGGATTCATTAAGACCTGTTAAAAACTTATATAACTTTTGCAACTGATAATGCTTTGCATGTTTGACAGACTCTGGGCATCCATATGAAGGAGGAGGAGATAGTGTCTCATACTCATCCCATAGTTCCCTAAGCTTCGAGAAATACACAGACACAGGTGATATGCCCTGAGTTAGTGCAGCAATTTCCTTATGCAAATAACAAGCTCTAGAGGCATTTACTTTATCAAACCTCTTTTTAAGGTCTTCACACATCTTACGTGCATCATAAGCATAAATCACAGTACTAATCAGACTTTGAGATACTGTGTTCATTATCCAAGCTAGAACAATGGCATTATATCTGTTCCAGAGTTCATGCAGGCTAGGATCATACATGTCTTTTCTACAAGTTCCTAAAACAAAACCTAGTTTGTTTTTATCATGCAAAACAATCTTCATTGACCGACTCCAAATTGAGTAATTTTTAGAACCTTGAAGTTGAATTGAGATAAGAACAGAACCTTGTGTATCTGAAGGATGAATGTATAGATGATGATTGTGATGTACCAGATCTGGAGAATTCATCGTATGAGTCTGAGTTGCAGTCGCCATAGGATGAGCTGATGAGGTGGAGATCCCGTCGTCATTTGTAATTGTAAATAATATCGACTGTATCGCACCACATTAATTGAGGTGATTTAGGTCACGACTCACTCAATTACACCAAAAATTGACACTAATTGAACACGCCCTAATTTCAGGAAATTTGCTCAAAAATGGTAAAGAAACAGAGTAAAGGAAGCGATTAACCAGTGATATTCCTCTCCTGAAGCTGCTGAGCTAATTGATCTCGCCTGAAAGCTCTGATACCATGTTGAACAAATCAGCCATGGCTGAAGAGGAAGGAAGTCGGTGGAGAAGAAGAAGAAGCTCCATTATCTGTATCAGACAAAATGTTCTAACTAATTCTAAGAGGGCTACTGTACACATGTAACTAACTCCTATTTATACAGCTAATTAACTAACCTACTTTGTCAACTAGCTTCACCTAATTATACTATATTAAATTAACTACTGGACCCCACATCTATTCCTTCTACAATACTTTCTCTATTTCATTTGATGTGATATTATTACTATTTGGGGGTGCTTGACAAGGTTTTCTTTGATTATATTTTTCGTAAATACTTCTTAAATATTTTGAGTTGTTAACTATTGTGACTTATAATACTTTTATATAATTTTTAAATATGTAAATTTTATTTTTAAAAATTTCTAAAAATTTATATTGAATTCATACGAAAAATTAATCTATTTGAGCTTCATACTCCGGAAAAATTCACATAAACTAAAACGAATGGGATATATATGTAATGAAGCAATGAGCTAGTCCCAAAACATATTATAAGAAAGAATTGCTTTGTTTATGATTTGGTAGTTAGATTAGGGGAGAAATTAAAAAATAGCCAGATTTACAAGTGGTCATTCAAAAATAGCCACAATTTCAAAAAGATAAATCTGAACGAAAACACTGTTCAAAATCCGAAAATACTCCAGCATAATATACTGGAGTTCCAGCATAAGTATACTAGAACTCCAGTATATTATAATGGAGTTCCAGCATAAGTATACTAGAACTCCAGCATAATATACTGGAGTTCAGCATAAGTATATACTGGAACTCCAGCATAATATACTGGAGTTCCAGTATAATATACCGGTCCAGTATAATATGCTGGAAGTTCATACACTGGTGCTCCAATCTCCAATATATTGTGCTGGAACTTTCCGCATGTTGGAGTTCCAGCATGATATGCTGGAAGTTCATACACAACGATCTCCAGTATATTATGCTGGACCGGTCCATTTTGCAGCAAAATAATAACTACTTTTCAGTGGTCTTGCAAATATTGATTATTTTTAAATGAGCAGTCCGAAACTGGCTAGCCCGTGCTATTTTAACATCCTAATGGACCAACGACTTAACGATGAGACTTTCAATTGGGCCAGAAGCCCAAAAAGGACTTGGAGTCGCTGTCAACGAAGTCGTTGTGGACCCCATTGGAACAACAACAACATGTCACGCCGCCACGTCATACAGCGTGGACCCGGCGGCTATCAGTCAACAGCAATCTGTAAAAGGCTGAAACCCATCCACCACCACGCGCCCACCACCAACTTCGCTGACTCGCCACTGACTCAGCCCGACTCGTTCTCTCCTTTCCTCTTCAGAAAAAACCCTAATTTAATCAACGATTGTTCCACAATATTGAGATTTTCAGAAGAATTATGTATGAATTTCCCTGAAAATGTCAGTGACAGAGCTGAAAGAGCGGCATATGGCCGCTACACAGACTGTAAATGATCTCCGTGAAAAACTTAAGCAAAAGCGTCTCGAGTTACTCGACACTGATGGTTATTTCTTGCTTCCAATTCCTCATTTATTGTTGTTTTTTGGAGTTTTAAGTTATTGTTATTTAGAGATCTGATTTTTTTTTGGCTGTTAAATATTTTGCAGTTTCTGGATATGCAAGGTCGCAAGGTAAAACTCCGGTCACCTTTGGCCCAACAGATCTGGTTTGTTGTAGGATCCTGCAAGGACACACTGGAAAGGTAGATACTTTCACCAATTTGTGAATTTTATTCCAAGTGTTGTCTGTATTGGCACTTTATTTTCCTCATTTTGTTCCAATAGTTGTCTGTATTTGCACATTTGTTGCCTATCCCAAAAAGATAAATACAAATAAATTCATGCTTCATGTGTCCCATTTGTATAACACTCTTTTCATATGGGACATACAAAGTGTTTGATCCATAAATTTGACAACTTAAATTGGAATTCATTTAACTTGACAAATTTTGTCTTTTAATGTGATATATCTTATGAAACCAACTTTCTAACTATTAGTGTAGTATTTTGTTCGACTACCGCTAATATGATAAATAAGCTAGATTAACATCTTGAGCTTCTCATTCTGTCGAACACAGTTATATAAAAAAGGGAGAAAAGGGGTACTAGTTAGTACTATAATATACGTAGGATAAAAGATTTTAAGCTTTGGTGAATTTTACTCTTCTTGGCTTGGTTGTTAGATCTTTTACGGTTAGTGGCACATCAAAGCAAGTATTTTAAAAGCCTCACTGCAAGCTTACGCCCACAACATGTAGGAAGCTGGCAAACAATTTTTGAACTACGCATGAGTTTAGTAAGTGCTGACCATGATGTTTAAACTACTTGATTCTCTGATGTTGTGTCTACTGAATTTGGATAAATACTTGGTCAACTTGTTAGTTATCTTCCACCCAGAAACTTGGAGATTGAACAAAGATGATTGTGATATCAAGCCAATTAGCTGGAAGCTGTTAGTGAAACCAGTTTACTTTTCTAAAGGCGGCTATAGTAACTATTAAACCATGAATGTAAGATCAAACTGAAGAATTCACCCATACAGAGGCCAAAGTGAATTAAGAAACATCATACTCAACTAACAAAACAAAATAACCTTTAAGTACCAGTAATCACTAAATAAATTGAAAAAACTTTACATGATCATACTCGCTTCTGACTTTTGCTTCTTTAGGTGTGTATAATATCCTCTAAGAACTTTGTTGATGTATCTGAATGATGTATTGATGGAGAGGCTAAAGCAAGTAAGAGGGTGTTGGCTAAGCTTATAAGCTGGTCAAACTGGCTTATAAGCTCTTTTTGGCTTATCTACGCGTTTGGTAAAATTAAAAGTGCTTATAAGTTAAGTGCTTATAAGCCAAAAATAAGCCAAAAACCATAAGTTGGTCTCCCCTAACTTATCAAATTTCAGCTTATAAGCACTTTATGTTTGACCAAAATATTTACTATTCTATCCCTAAAATACTTCTTTTTAAAACAAAACTCTTCGTATACTCAGTTCTTCAACTGCTTATTATTAATTTTAGCACTTTTATCCAAACACGTAACTGCTTACTTTTTAAATCAGCTTCAGCACTTTAAAGAGCTTTTCAGCACCTAATGCTTATCAGCTACTCTAAATCAGCTAACCCAAACGGGCTCTAAATAAGGAAACGACATACTTAAGAGTATGTTATATGACCATAAGGAAACATCATAATCCATGACAACTTAGTTGATGTATGTTGGATATCATAATATAAATCGAGTATTACTTATTTGAGAAGTTGTATGACCAAAATCTTAAAAATTATTCTGCAGGTATATTCACTGGATTGGACTCCAGAAAAGAATCGTATAGTCAGTGCATCCCAAGATGGCAGATTAATAGTGTGGAATGCTCTCACAAGCCAGAAAACCCATGCAATTAAGCTTCCATGTGCTTGGGTTATGACCTGCGCCTTCTCTCCTGGTGGGCAGTCTGTTGCCTGCGGTGGCCTTGACAGTGTCTGCTCTATCTTCAACTTAAATTCACCAATCGATAAGGATGGGAACCATCCTGTATCAAGAATGCTTAGTGGGCATAAGGGGTATGTGTCTTCCTGTCAGTATGTTCCAGATGAGGATACTCACCTAATAACTAGTTCTGGTGATCAAACATGTGTCCTTTGGGATATAACTACTGGCCTAAGAACTTCTGTCTTTGGAGGTGAGTTTCAATCTGGGCACACCGCAGATGTACTAAGGTAAGTTGGTGATCAATTGACTATGCAAGTATTCTGTCTCTGTCCTTGAACTATGTTAAACATATTTTAGTTTGGGAAGCAATCTTATTTCTTTTCCATTTATCCAGTGTCTCAATTAGTTCATCGAACCCCAGACTGTTTGTGTCTGGGTCCTGTGACACAACTGCTCGACTGTGGGACACCCGAGTTGCTAGTCGAGCTCAACGAACATTTCATGGTCATGAGGGAGATGTTAATACTGTAAAGTTCTTCCCTGATGGTAATAGATTTGGAACTGGTTCAGATGATGGAACCTGCAGATTATTTGACATTAGGACTGGACACCAGCTGCAAGTGTACTACCAGCCGCATGGTGATGGTGATATCCCTCATGTGACTTCCATGGCATTTTCTATCTCAGGCCGTCTTCTCTTTGTCGGGTACTCAAATGGTGATTGTTATGTGTGGGACACTCTATTAGCAAAGGTACAAGAAAGTCGCGTCTTGCTTTTAACTCATTTCTCCGTAGAAAAAAAAAACCTCTATCATTCTGGAAATTATTGTTCGCAAACATTTTGAGATAATTCTTGGTCCAAGTATACTCATAGGCATCTCTTCTTTTCCAATAGCATTCCGTGCAACCTTCTGATAAATAACATTCAAATTCATTATCATTTTCCTTTTGGGATAGCATTTTCACTTCTAATAGTTTGATTGTTTGTGCATGTTTATGTTTATGATGTCTTTGTTCTTCCTATTTGGCATCAGCCTTATTCTTGCATTTACTCTTTGACTCAATAGGTGGTCCTAAACTTGGGAGCAGTTCAAAACTCTCATGAAGGGCGAATAAGTTGCCTGGGACTGTCAGCTGATGGGAGCGCCTTATGTACAGGAAGTTGGGATACAAACCTGAAGGTAAGCTTCGGAGTGGTTTTCTTTTTTCTAATGAACGAGAAACTAAAATTATATTTTTCAAGCATCAAGCAAATTTATAACGAACTGAAGAAATCTAATATATTAGAACCATTTAATTATAGAGTTATGTGCATGCGGGAAGAACTTATTAAATAATAACCCTGTTCTCAGTGAGAAACAGTACCTTGAAATTTGGGGCCTCAGCTTTGCCCTTTGAGCTAGACTTCATGATGGTTAGCCTTGAATATCAAGTAAACCTGAAAGAAATGGTTTACAATCAAATGATGCTCATCTCCTTTGTTTTTCCCGAGTTTATAACAAGATTTAACTTCCTTTTTCCTTTGGCAGATTTGGGCTTTTGGAGGGCACAGAAGTGTGATCTGAAGGAAGAAACACCTCATTCTGTTATTTAATTCGTATCCCTCTTCATTCTCATTTTCTTTCATAGCTAGCCTATTATTCGCGTTTCCGTTGGCATTGTCCTAACCTGTAGATCTCTTGTACTCCAGTTTATATTTCAGGCAGAGAAACCAAACTGTTCCACTTGTGATCATATGAATCTGATATATATAACTGGATCAGCACCAGTTGTAAAGGATAACCCGTTTGTTTCCAAAATTGTCTGATGGTTTCAGCTGCTTCTGTAATTAAAATTCTTTAAGAGATGCTTGAAGAATGGAAACAAGCTTTTCTTTTGTCACCATTAAAAAGCTGTTGAGATACTGAAATGGTCAGTTGATAGAACAGCCTAGGCATGAACATTTGCTCTCCGGTTAACAAGAGTCTTTTGTAAAAATGTTCATTGTTTTCTGGCTTTCTATCATATTTGAGAATATTCCCACTCTATACAAATTTATGTGTGCGCGCGCATGTGTAAGTGTATATGTATATTATTATATGCATGTGATAGTTGGTAATATTGTTAACTTGCTTCTAATGGCATAAGGGTAAAATTGTTGCAATGCAACCTAGAATACGATTAGAACCCAAGATTTTCTTTTTGGGGACTAGAATGGTACAAGGCCGAGGAGAATTCCGTGGAAGAATAATAAAACATAGATTAATTAGTTGAAAGAAACTTTATTAAAATTCTTCTTTCCTTCTACTAGATATTACAGGTGAAATTTATCTTTACTCTCTATTTTAGCGAATAAAAAGAAAAAGAAACATATTTGTTACTCCCGCTGTCATTTTCTCCAAAATATTTGTTCCTTTCCTTTTCAGAAGTAAAAATAAGTGGACTTTTGACCAATATGTTTAAAATACATTATTTCACCATTTTAATATAAAAAAACTGGTAAGTACTACTCGTATTGTAAACAATTTGGAAGGGAAGATATTGTCATAACCAACGATGACGTATATATGGAGCCACATGACAAATAGACAATGTAGATAAATGTGGCTAAAGAACTAAAGACAGAAGGAAAGAAGCTATGTTTCTATGCTCTTCTATCCCAACTACAAAAATCTGCTTCTTCATTTCTGCCACAAATATCCCTTTTTCTTCATCTCCAAACCCTCCCCTCCTAAGATTTCGCACTTCTAATCGTGAAAATCTCCGGTATCTAAAATCCCTCGGCATTATCAAGCCAGGAAACAAAACCTACAAAAGCCCATCACCTGAATCCCTTTTACATATCTTATCCATTGTGAACCTCCTAAATTCCCAAGGATTCTCCGAAGCTGATATATCAAGAATAGCTCTTGTTTGCGACCAGGTATTTTCACCTGAATTTAGTCCTGCCCATGTTGAATCTGTTTTTGAATTCTTCAAATTTGATTTGGCTGCAACCCCAGAAGAAACTCGAGGTTTAATTCTTAGATGCCCTCAAATTCTTGAATCCAATGTCCCCTTCTGTCTGAGACCGACACTGATTTATCTTAAAGAACTGGACATTGGAAATTTAAACTTGCCAACAACCTTAAATGCTCATCTTCTGAATACCCGAGTTGATAAATTGGAAGAAAAGGTTAGATTTTTGGGGGGTATTGGGTTTTCCTACGAAGAATCAGCAAAGTTTTGTGCTAGATTTCCTGCTATATTTGGTTACAGCATTGAACAGAACTTGTGGCCAAAATATGTGTATTTGGTTGAGGAGATGAGGAGGGATATCCAGGAACTGAAACTGTTCCCTCAGTACTTTGCTTTCAGCCTTAGAAACAGGATTGTGCCTAGACATTTGCATCTCAAAGAAAGAAATGTTACCATGCCTTTGAAACGAATGTTGCTGTGGAGTGATCAACGCTTTTATGCTAAATGGAAATAAATTTTCTATTTCTTAATTCATGATTTTTTGTACAGCACCCTAATTATATTTCTTTTCAGTAAAGCGAATGGCAAGTGGTGAAAGATTAGTTTCGTGTAAATATATTTCGTGTCACGTTGCCCCTAATATAATGCGCCCTCTTTACATCGCTAGGTGATCTCATTTAGTAACTTATTCACTTGCTTGTGATCATTAAGCCTTCCCTGTGCAAGTAATTGGGTGAGAAACTGTGAATTCAAACCATATTAGTGCAAGTCTTAGTATTACTTCTACAATCATACTAAGAATGAACTGTCTTGATCGCAAAATTTAGAATGAATACAACAATCATGAAGTACCTGAGAGATCACTTTGACAATATGCAAAATATACGGAGCAGGTTTGGGTAACTACTAGACTATCGACTCTTTGCTTTGAACAAAAGAAAAAAGTAAAGGGAAAGACAAATTTAGTGGTCGAATTCCCTAAGCGGACTGACTCCTTGAAGAATGTCTCGCAGTTCTGACAGATCAAATTTACCAAGTACAAAAAAGAAAAAAATAGCTTTCTGCTTCGCCATGACGAGGACTACTAGTCTTCAGCCAATCTAACAAAGCTTAGCCACTTGCAACAATTTCATGAATTGCATCACTGACAGATATATCTTCAGACCTAACAGCCAGTTTCATTGCAACCTCCTTTGGCCCATCGACTCCAAATGACAACCGAACAAGAACCTTTACACCACCAATGTAAACACCAGATAATAAACATGTGTGCGATCTTGAATTGCTTGGGACCACCTCAGTGCCCTGGAAAAAGAATCATAGGACAGTCAGCTTCCACAGACAGAAATACGCATAGTTGCTAGTAAGATGTTTGACTAAATATGAATGAGGTAAGCTACAAAGTATGCCCTGCTTTAAAGAGTTCTAACAGAATGTCTGAGATTTTGAGTTGAGTAAAACCATAAGACAAACCTCGCAAGGTTGCATGCCAAGTAGGTCGATGACTGTATTTACAGCTTCAGCCAGGCTTTCCCTTGGTCCAAGACCATATTCATCTACCTTTTCACAATCTGGTCCCAAACTCTCCCAGGCATTCCTAAAGTTGGATACTCCTACTTTTAGCACATAATCTGCTGAAACAACCTCAAGGTCTTCTAGCTGGTATTCGTCTTCGACACCATCGTCTTCAGCCTCACCAGTAGATGGATCAACCTAGTGAATCACCAGAGATCATCACAGTGCATTGACAGAAAGATGGATTGTACAAACATATTAGGCAAGTTAAAAGGCACTACATTTCAGAATCAGAACCATTTACAGATGGAAAGAAAAGAATCAGATTTTCTTTTCCTTTGGGAGGTAAGGCTGCAAAGGATTTGTTAACAAGCGTTTGGTTGGGTCTGGAATTTAACACTGCAGCTGAATTATATTAGTTTAGAAGAACAGGTCCAAAATTAGAGGTTAAAAATTAGTTCTTAAAGTTCAGCTTTTGGAGGATAATTATACAACTTTTTGGGATGCAGCTATTATCATGGAAATGAGATGGCTTAGTCAAGATGCTTCACACAAGTGACATGGCTGGTATACCTCAAAGTCATAGACAGAGAGATTCCATCCAGATTTGTTTCCAAAATAATTCAGGAGAAATATACCTCTTTGACAATGAACCTCAACGTGTTTGAGAATTTCCCAACAGCAGGGACTCCTTCTGGTTTCTCGAAAGCCACAAATGTTTGCCCTGGGGTATCATATGGCAGGGACTTGAGAGGTTTGGATGCTACTTCAGAAAATTCCTCTGCTTCAGAAGCATCTACGATAACAGTGACCTGGCAGCAGGCAAATAACACTTCACAATGATGATCAGGTAATATTACAATGCAAGAAATGCCTCCAAATAAAAGTTTAATACATTCTCCAGCAATTGCTCAGGGATAGTGTTGGTGCAGTTGTACTGGAACACGATATGATTGTCGAAAATGTGCTTGACAACATTAACTGCATATTCTGTTTCAGCTTCTGTAAGCTCCACTGGTGCAGATGACTGATCATACATAGAAAAAATGACTAGCTTAAATAAGTGCAAAAGAAATCACCATAGAAAATAAATGATGATGAATCTCAAAATACGAACCTTGAAAAGCTTTCCATAACTGGCAAATTCTGGAATAGAGGACAGTAACCTTTCATACGCATCAACAGTGGAAGTGGGAGCCACAGGAGGAGCAGCCAAACCAGTTGGCTTTTTACCGGGTGCTTTCTTCTCTGACAAGGGTTGAGATTTGACTTCCTTAGGTACAGAATGAATGTCAAATGGCTCCTCCGAGGGCTCCTGCCACCATTAAAGCAAAACCATCAGATAACAAATGCAAAAAGAAACATCAGATAACAAATGCAAAAAGAACTAGAGATTGCAAGATAGAGAAGCTACATACATAGTTCTTCAAACTTGTTTCCAGATTGGTTAGAGGGACACCGAGTGAACCAAAAAGGAACTCTTTCACCTCTTCATCAGTTTCAACAACTGCACCATCACCTCCAAGGGTATTCAAGTAAAGTGTTGCACGATCACGAACCTGCCAAAAGATTGCAAAAATTCTAAGATAACCGAAAGAGATTATAACACAAAAACACATGTCGCAATCATTGAAGACTATAAAGAATATTTGATTCATTTACCCGAGTTATAAAGACAGAAAATGAAGAAGAAGCTGATGGAAGTTTTAAAACTTCAGTCGTGAAAAAACAGTATTTCTGATGAGCAAGGAGATGCAGATCATTTCAGATGATTTCTCACATATGTAGGTTGCAAATAACTAGTCCATGCAATTAAAGTGCAAGTTGCTTGCCACAAAGGTATAGACAGCTTAGTTACACAGTAAAAACTACGAATTGTTTCTTTTTAGTTTACATAGGAAAAACAAAAAGATGGGGGGTGGGGGTTTCAGAAGGCTGGCTGAAGGCTCAACCATTTCTATCGTGAAAAGAAATTCTTATGAGTAAATGCCAAACGAGTTCTGCAATTGCAACACCATGAATGAACAAAATGAAATATGGAATCTTTGGTTCTTTCTTTTACTTCCTTTTGTTTAATTGGAGACAACTATACTTTTGGAAAGCGCATGATTTCTCATATATACAGGGGCCTAAATTTCACAAACGAATGGTTGACCTGACTAACAAGAATGGAAAAGGATAAAGTAATCATTAACACAGTAATAAAGCATAGCAATAACTAGAAGACATGAAGTCTCAGGACTAACCTCATCATCACTGTCAAACAGACAACGTTTCAACAGCACAAATATACGAGGCTGCAGCATATTAAAGAAACAGTTTTAAAGTCAAAATATAGCATTCAGACATGATAAAAACTGAAACCAGAACAATTCTACCTTTAATGAATCAACCAAGGCACCAAACTTCGCTAAGGTGCTCACTGCACTGGCCCGAACTGTTGCATTTTCAAGTATCACCCGATTATATATGTATCGTATGTACTTACTGGGGTCAGAGGTCTTAGGTCCTTCATTTCCAAGAAAATGTAGTATCTACGGGCAAATTGAGGTGAAATAAATAAATACAGCATCTCATAAACCAAATGAAAACCAAAATTACAATGAAATAATGTAGATAGACAAGAAAACCATGATATTAGCAAGAAAAGAGGAGAGGAAACTAACCTGCGTAGAAAGATACGTGAATTCACAGTCCTCAATAAATTCACACAAGTGAAGCAGCCCACCTTCTTTGGCATCTGGGATATCTCTAATCAGGATCACAATTGAATCAACAATAGCCTTCTTGTACTCAAATCCACCTTCTTCTCTCAAAATATTGCTCAAGAAATTCATCCTGTTATTATTTAAAAAACATAAATATCCATATTAAGTGATTGTAAAAAAGAAAGAAAAAAAGTTGTATCCCCAACCACACCCCTCTATTTTTGTTTTGCATACATATGTATATTCATATCCAGGTTTCTAAGAGAAGTCCATGATTACTCACAAAGATCTATACTTAAGGGGGAATTTCAAACACAATGATCTAATCGCTTCCACCACCACTATCTTAAACTCATCAGCAATGTCCGACATGAAGTTAGTAATCTGCTTCATTAGACGATCAACGCTTGATTCATTCCCGGTCTTGAGTAGAGTTGTGATGGCCAAAGTTGCAATGCTCCTATTTTGATCAGAAATCAAGCTCTCCATATCAATGTTGCAATTTGTCACAGCCATAGGATGTGTCATTGCCACCTGCACATGGTTCAACAATTAATACTTGTGCTGCATCAGCAGAAACCAAAAGCAGTTGGTACTATAACAGATTAAGCTTTTCTCTTTTTTTCTGAACAAATTAAGCTTTTCAGTTACAAATGTTAAGAAGGTCAATACTGTAACCAGGCAGTCCTACTTGTTAGTCGCATAAAAATCAATATCAGAGAGAATTAGATTCCAGTGTTTGTTTACAATAACAAAGATAGGGTTATCCTGATGTGGAAAAATTGTAATGTGTGCCATTCAACTAAGCAACTCAATAATTATTCATGAACCACAATTACCAAATTAATCATTCGTAATAAAACTAGTAGACCAATGAAATTATACTAAGATGAATCACCTTATTCAAAGTGCGGACAGCAGCAAACCTAAGAACTGGCTTAGAAGAGCTCAAAAAGAGCTGTAGAACAGTAATAGCAGGAGTTAATTCTCGACTAGTCACACCACTAAGCTCTGTGATTGCCCTGGCTGCTTCAAAAATAACCATTTCAGCTTTGTGACGAAGGCAACTCTCTAAATAGTCATAGAATGGACGATCTCCTGTTTGGCTAATGCCAGATTCTCTTATAACCTGAAGAGATGTGAATCCAAATTGGCATTAAATAATCCAGAATTAGGATATCTTTCCGGTTGGCAAAAGCCCAATCACATAACTAAATTAATGCCAAAACTGGAAGAAAAAGGGAAAAAAGAGGGCACCTGACTAGTATAACGAATCAAAAGACATTGAGCT